GCTTCAAGCATGTCAGATGCTGGAATGCTAAGTTACAGTGTAAACATAGTCGGAGTCGAATTTTCTTGTTCTGCCTGTTGTGTGCGTTATACATCCTTCGATGTCGTCTTATATGATCGTTGCGAACATATATGCTACAGAGGTATCTATGTGAGATGATATAATACAGGGATACAGTGTGCAGACTGATGTTGTCGAAATTTCTCCACTTGCCTATTGTTCTCGTTATATGTCCTCTGAAGTCGTCCTATATGGTCAGTGCGATCGTATCTGCTATAACTGTAGGCATGTCAGATGCTAGAATGCGAAGTTACAGTGTAAATATAGTCGAAGATTTTTGTTCTGCCTGTTGTGTGCGTTATACCGGTTTTGATGTCGTCTCATATGATCGATGCGAACTGATATGCTCCAGAGGTATCTATGTTAGATGATAAAATACAGAGATACAGTGTGCAGACTGATGTTGTCAAAGTATCCTCACTTGCCTATTAATCTCGTTATATGTCCTTCAAAGTCTTTCTATATGGTCAGTGCGATCGTATCTGTTTCAACTGTAGGCATGTCAGATGCTCGAATTTGGAGCCACAGTGTGAACATAGTCGAAGTTTCTTGTTCTCCCTGTTTCATGCGTTATACCCGTTTTGATGTCGTCTCATATGATCGTTGCGAACTGATATGCTCCAAAGGTATCCATGTGAGATGATAGAATACAGAGTTACAGTGTGCGGACTGATGATGTCGAAGTTTATTTATTTGCCTATTGTTCTCGTTTTAAGTCCTTCAGAGTCGTCTCATATGGTCAGTGCGATCGCATCTTCTATAACTGTAAGCATGTCAGATGCTAAAATGCAAAGTTACAGTGTGGACATAGTCGAAGTCGAAGTTTCTTGTTCTGCCTGTTGTGTGCGTTATACCCGATCTGATGTCGTCGCATATGATCGTTGCGAACTACCATGCTACATAGGTATTCATGTGAGATGTTAGAATACAGGGATATAGTGTGCAAAGTGATTTGATTCAGGAAACACTAGACAATGTCAAACTATAAGATGTATAACCGACTTATTATCAAGATTGATAAATTCGTTGTTTAGGCGAACACGCCGGTTTACCGACTCTTGATTGTTGGAATCGAAGTTTCAAGTGGATATGAAAAAGAATTATACTCCACTCGCATATAATGAGCTGTCAAATATCCTCCTTGAATGGGCAATTAAGATGCTAGAATGCAAAGTTACAAAGTAAACATAGTCGAGGTCGAAGTTTCTAGTTCTGCCTGTTGTGTGCGTTGTACCTGCTTCGATGTCGTCTCATATGATCGTTGCGAATTCATATGCTCCAGAGGCATCTATGTGAGATGATAGAATACAGAGAAACAGTGTGCAGACTGATTTTGTCGAAGTGTCCTCACTTGCCTATTGTTCCTAAGTCCTTCAAAGTTGTCTCATATGGTCAGTGCGATCGTCAGATTCTAGAATGCAAAGATACAGAGTAAACATAGTCGAAGTCAAAGTTTCTTGTTCTGCCTGTTGTGTGGGTTATACCCGATTCGATGTCAACTTATATGATCGTTGCGAACTATCATGCTCCAGAGGTATCCATGTGATTTGATAGAATACAGAGATACAGTGTGCAGACTGATGTTGTCAAAGTATCTCCACTCGCTTATTGTTCTCGTTATATGTCTTTCGATGTCGTCTTATATGATCGTTGTGAAAATATATGCTTCAGAGGTATCTATGTGGGATGAAAAAATACAGAGATACAGTGTGCAGACTGATGTTGTCGAAGTATCTCACTTGCCTATTTTTCTCGTTATATGTCCTTCGAAGTCGTTCTATATGGTCAGTGCGATCGAATCTGCTATAACTGTAGGCATGCCAGATGCTAGAATGCAAAGTTACAGTGTATACATAGTCGAAGTCGAAGTTTCTTGTTCTGCCTGTTGTTTGCATTATACCTGTTTTGATGTCGTCTCATATGATCGATTCGAACTGATATGCTCCAGAAAAATTCATGTGAGGTGATAGAATACAGAGATACAGTGTGCAGACTGATGTTGTCGAAGTATCTTCACTTGCCTATTGTACTCGTTATATGTCCTTCGAAGTCATCTCATGTGGTCAGTGCGATCGTATCTACTATAGCTGTAGGCATGTCAGATTCTAGAATGTGAAGTCACAGTGTGAACATATTCGAAGTCAAAGTTTCTTGTTCTGCTTATTGTGTGAGTTATAACCGCTTCGACATCGTCTTATATGATCGTTGCGAACTAATATGCTTCGGAAGTATCCATGTGAGATGATAGAATACAGAGATACAATGTGCAGACGATTGTGTCGAAGTATCCTCACTTGCCTGCAAATGTCGTTATATGTCCTTCACAGTCTTCCTTTATGGTTAGTGCGATCGTAGGTTCCAACTGTGGGCATGTCAGATGCTAGAATTCAGAGCCACAGTGTAAACATAGTCGAAACGAAGTTTCTTGTTCGCCCTGTTGTATTCGTTATACCCGTTTTGATGTCGTCTCATATGATCTCTGCGAACTGATATGCTCCAGAGGTATCCATGTGAGATGATAGAATACAGAGACACAGTGTGCAGACTGATGTTGTCGAAGTATCTCCACTTGCCTATTGTACTCGTTAAATGTCCTTCGAAGTCATCTTATGTGGTCAGTGCGATCGTATCTACTATAGCTGTAGGTATGTCAGATTCTAGAATGTGAAGTTACAGTGTGAACATATTAATAATAATAATAATAATAATAATAATGACTTTATTGAAAATTGAAAATTGACAAAATTGAAAAAATTGACAAATTGATATTACAAAAAAAGGAAAAAAGAAAAAATTTCAATTTCAATTTTTCAAAAGGCGAAGTTCAGGATGCTCCGTGAGGGGCTCCTGTTCTGAGCAAATTTATGTCTGGCCTAGGTAGGTTTCTTGAAGCATTAACAAAGTAATCATTCATAGCATTGGCATTCTTCAGGTTCTCTGGTAATTCATAAGTTTTATTCACACTCTCAGTAATATTAAGTTTTTTGAGTTCATTCCATTTATCCTTCACAGAGCAGATTTGGAATTTATGTTCAAGGTAAGCTTTTTTCTCCGCGCGAATGGCTCTATTAGTATAATTTCTGAGAAGTTTGTAATATTCCCAACGGTGACTTACCTTATTTTTCCGAAATTTGTTCAAGGCTTTGTCTCTCAACTTTTGCAATAATTTTATGTTGTCGGTTATCCATGGAGCATGCTTATATTTCGGATTTTTCATCACAGTTCTTAATGGAGCATGTGTATCAAATAAGTATAAAATATTATTATTTATGAAATGTACCTTTTCTTCAATGTTGTGAATTTCATAAACTAAATGCCATTGAAGTGATTCGAGATCATTTTGAAAACTTTGTATATCAATATTATTTAGAGCTCTATATGTTATATGTTCCATATATTCTACACCATTTGGCATGCTGATTTCGCAAAATGTAGCTAGGTGGTCCGAGATTCCAGCATCAATCACGCCCGTTTGGATAACGTTCACTTCATTATTAATAAAGATAAGATCAATCAGGGTACTCGAATTTGGGGCTATTCTGGTAGGTTCTTTTATCACTTGCTTCAAGTCAAATGTTTCACAAATCGCTATCAATGATGAGACTTTTTTACTGGTGAAGTTGAGTAAGTTTGAGTTGAAGTCACCCATTATTATTATATTATCAAATTCAGCATAAATATTAGCTAGAGTATCTTCAAGTTCACTGTAAAATAAGTTCAGATCCGAATTAGGAGGTCTATATACTACGCCACATATGGGAGGTTTGTTGTTTATTAACAACTTGATCCACATATGTTCAATTGAGAGTGAATATGCCTTGTATAGAGTGGAGACATAGTCAATGTTACCTTTAATATAAAGTGCTACCCCTCCACCTCGGGTTGGCCTGTCTTGTCGTATAAGTGTATAGTTAGGAATCCCCATCGCATCACCACCTATGTCCTCATTCAACCAAGTTTCCGTAACTCCGATCAAGTAATGGGAGTTTCCAAGGACAAAATTGAAGAATTGTTCAGAATTATTTACTAAGGATCTCACATTTACTAGAGCTACTTGCAAGTTCATCTGAAAGATGAGAAAGTTTAAATAGATTATATTGTAGAAGAGAAGATGAGAGATAGAAGAAATAAAGAAGATAGCTTAGAATTGAAAGATTTAGATATATGGATCACTATAAGTAATCAAGAAAGTATAATACATTAGTAGTATCGCATTCCTCCATTTGGAATGTTAGTATACAGCAAAATCTGCTATAATGCAGTTCAACAAGGGAAACATACATTTCTATTTTTAAGAAGAATGCATATGCATTAAATGTTCTAACATAACCAGAGAAATATTCAGCATTAACATAACATAACAGTTTAGGCACAAAGTGCAATGATTGTTAATATTGTGAACAGCAAGAAAAGTTTATCTTTCATAATGTGTCTACATACATCCATTTACCTAACCAACATTGTAATAAGTAAAAGGAGATAACATAATATTAATTATAAGTAAGTAATATCAAGGCACAATTACATGTTCGATCAGGTAGAGAGACATCATCTATAAATAAGCTGATAAGGTATGCTTACAATGGAAACCCAATCTAACATTGAACATCAAATAAAGTATTTAAATGAAAAATAAATATATTCTCACCTATGAAAGATAATAATAATATACAAAGAATCATAAGAAGGTCACCTAATATCAGCCTAGAAACAAGCACAGTGTCTTTTCTTGGTTTCTAATTCATGAAATGATAGATAACATTCATTTTAATGAATATCAATAAATAAATAACCAATAAGTAAATAACAAATATAATTTTCTTTTGAAATAGAGGTTAGGTTACCCAACCTTCTTCTTATTTTGTTCAAGCGTCAAGCATCGAGCTTGAGCCAGAGTGCCTTGGACACAGGCCTTGAATGTATATTAGGGCATAGTCGAGTCAGTCCGAGGGTTGCCGATCTGGGACCAGCTGATTGATGTCTTCTTTATTTATCAAACGATGTATCGTACCTTCATGTTTAACAAGTACTGTTCCATTGCTGCACCAGACACAGTTCTTTGGAAAAACTTCAATAGCCGCTGCGACAATACTCTGCCGATGTTTCGTTAAGTCTTCTCGAATATAAATACCACTGGATTTAAGAAGCTTTCTACATTTCAAAATTTCAGTTTGCATTGCTTTATCCTTGAACCCTACAAACATAGCTGGCAGCCTGTTGCTGTCTTCACTTTCGTTTCGATCCATGTTACGTTTATTCTTGATAACATAGCAACTTTCAATATCTGAAGCGGATAAGCTCCTGATTTTCAGTTTTTCTTTGAAGAAATTAAGGGTTGTTTCCACTACCTTTCTGGGGTCATTCACCTTCAAATTGTGAATTCTTATGTTTTTCAGTCGTCGGTTTTGTTCCAATTGTTCCACCATTGAGTGAAGTTTCAGGTTATCTGTTTGGATATTTTCAATTTGGCTCTTCAAAATTGTTATTTCTGCCATTTGCGATTTCAGTTTGTTTTCAAATCTAGCATTCATTTGTTTGAATACCTTCTCAGTAAGCTGCTCAAGCCAGTCCACGGAGCACAAGATGGATTTTGTTTTCACTTCCACAATGGTGGCGATCTCGTCAAGGTCCTTTCGTGTTAAACCCATGATGCACTTTTATCAGTTTTATCTGATGAAAATTCGACCACTCATACACTGAAATCGCTATGACGACCGTTCTGAAGGATAATTGCGCAACTTTTATTCTTACTGCACATAAATATAACCCTAAACAATTAATTTTCTTTGGGAGACACGCGACACTACATGTTCATCACGCCATCTTGGATACAACGAATTCGAAGTCAAAGTTTCTTGTTCTGCCTATTGTGTGAGTTATAACCGCTTCGATATCGTCTTATATGATCGTTGCGAACTAATATGCTTCGGAAGTATCCATGTGAGATGATAGAATACAGAGATACAGTGTGCAGACTGATTTTGTCGAAGTATCCTTACTTGCCTGCAAATGTCGTTAAATGTCCTTCACAGTCTTCCTTCATGGTCAGTGCGATCGTATGTTCCAACTGTGGGCATGTCAGATGCTAGAATTCAGAGCCACAGTGTAAACATAGTCGAAACGAAGTTTCTTGTTCCCCTGTTGTATTCGTTATACCCGTTTTGATGTCGTCTCATATGATCATATGAGATGAAACTGCTCATAAGGAAAAAACTAGTAATACTGAATGTACTCATATTGTTTTTCCTAGTAAAACTGAATCAGATAACAATAATGAAAATTCCACTGTGATTCACAATGATTCTTTTTTAGAAACAACAGATTTCCGAAAACATCATGTATAGACAATCATTCTACTTCAGATAATTTTATTTTATATTTCAATGCTCAAAGTGTACCTGCACATATTGATGAAATTAGGACTTTTGTGGGTATTGAAAAACCCTCAATAGTATGTCTGTCGGAAACGCATGTTACTGACGATATATTCAACTCGGAAATAAATATAGAAAACTATATATTGACTAGAACCGATAGTAGTAGTAGACATACAGGCGGAACTGCAATATTGACTGAAAAAAGGTTAAAGATAGTTGAAGTGTTCAAGGCGTGCATTGATAAAGTGTTTTGGTTAACGGGAGTGTCGGTGTTATTCCAAAAAAAGACTTATATTGTCTTTGTTTTATACAGGTCTCCCAGTAGTAGCATAGCACGATTTTTACAATTGTTTGAAGATTGGTGTGAAGGAAATGTAACTGAAAAAAATCCTAAAATAATAATTTGTGATGATTTCAATTTAAATTGTTTAGAGTCAAATACGAATACTATAAGACTGAAGAACTTCATGGGTGACATGGGTTTCACGAACTCAGTTAATGAGATCACACATTTAACTACTACAGGAGGGTCAATGATAGATCTAGTTTTCACGAATACTGACTTAGATGTTACTGTATTTGATTCACCAAAAATAAGTACACACCGTAATATAAAAATATCATTACCAAACATTCTACCAAAAGACACGAAAACATTCACGATTGAAACTAGGGGAAAAACATTGATTATGAACAGATTGAGTCAAAACTGAAACTTATTAGGTGGAACTACACAGAAAGGGATTTGAATCTCAGATATGAACAATTTTTGGACAATATGTTGTCAATTTTTAATGAAGTCGCTCCAAAAAAAACAGTCAAGATCTTTGGACGTTATAAGGAATTCTGGAATGAGAAGGTGAGGCAAGCTACAAAAGAAAGGGATATGAGTTACAAACAATATACAGTCAATAAAACTACAGATAATTGGGAGAAGTATAAACAAAAAAGAAATATAGCAGTGAAAACAATTAGGCAGGAGAAGAAGAACTATTAAGAGAAAAAGATTGACTCTAATAAGAACAATCCTACTGAAATGTGGAAAACATTGAAAACATTAGTACCGAATAATAACAAAGAATACAATCTTACAACTATCGATTTGGGCAATGGGGAAATAATTTCTGATAAGACATTGATACCGAATGGCCTGAATACATTTTATATAAAAAGTATAATAAATATAACTGATGGAATTGACAAACATTTTTCTCATAGCTTTCCTATAACTGAAAGAATAACTCATAATAAATTGTCAAACTTTAATCTTATCAATGAGGTAGATCTAAAAAGAATTATTGGTGCTTTGGAAAATAAAAATAGTCCCGATGAGATTTGTGTAGAATTTCTGAAAAAGTGTTTCAATGCCATTTGTAATCCATTGTTGAACATTATCAACATTTCTTTAGAGAGAGGTGAGGTACCAACTGAATTAAAATTATCCACTATTATACCTATACCAAAAGTGCCAAATACAAACCAAGCTATTCAATTAAGGCCAATAAACATGATTAATGCTACTGCTAAAGTAATGGAAAAGGCTGTATATGAGCAGATAGTGGATTATTTGGAGAGTAATAGGGTCCTATGTGAGTATCAATCAGGTTTTCGGAGCAAACATAGTTGTGAAACGGCGTTACAATGTGTTTTAACAGATCGGAGGAAAAGTGCGGATAATAATCAGTTTACTATTGCAGTATTTCTTGACCTGCAAAGGGCATTCGAAACTGTAGATAGAGGCAGACTGATTAGAAAGATTGAAAGCGTAGGTATTGATGGAATAGCACTAAACTGGATCATGAATTATTTGAGCAATAGAAAGCAAAGGTTGAAACTAGATGAAGTATATTCAGATAAAATGCAAAATGATATTGGTGTACCCCAAGGGTCTATATTGGGACCATTGTTATTCCTAATATATTTAAATGATATCGTAACCATAGCAGAAGAATGTAAAATTCACTTATTTGCCGACGACACCCTACTGTATTTTAGTAGTGATGATGTGCATGAGTGTGTTGATACTATGAACGCTGGTCTTGAAAGGGTGAATAGATATTGCTGTGCAAATCTGCTGAAGGTGAACGTAAATAAAACAAAATGGATGTTATTAGGAAAACATAAAGATCATAATAATGAAAATCTACTTCTAAGATTGAATGACAGTGATATAGAAAAGGTGAACAAATTCGTGTACTTGGGTGTTACCATTGACAATGAATTGAAATTCAAGGAACATGCTAATCAGGTCATCAAAACAGTAGCTTACAAAGTCAATTATTTAAGAAGATGTTCCCCATATCTGAGCCAGTGGTCTAAACTATTAGTATACAACTCCATAATCCTTCCACATTTAAATTACTGTTTCACCATTCTGTTTTTTCTCAACCAGAATGAAATAAACAGACTACAAAAGATGCAGAATCGTGCTATGCGAATAATCTTACAATGTTCAAGGATAACACCGATAACAAATATGTTGCAAACCCTACAATGGCTACCAGTGAGAAAACTCTTCGAGTATCGAACACTAATTTGCATTTTTAAAATCAAAATTGCATATTCACCTGTATATCTACAGAATAAATTATCATATGTGGCTGAAATACATGAGTATAATACAAAAAACAGAAACAATATGAAAGTTGAAAAATATAAAAAAAAATAGTACACATAATTCCTTACTTTATAAAGGAGTAGATTGTTTTAATGATCTCCCACAAGAAATTAAAGAGAGTGGTTCGATAAATACATTCAAAAGACGATTGAAGGATTATTTAATGAAAAATTAGTATATAATTAATATTTTTTTAGTAGTTTTTATTTACACGTAGGTATGTATTTTTTATTCAGACTGATTGTATTTTTTCATGTCAATCTAAGTTTATTTATATGTGAATGTATTTACTATTGTGAATGAATTAGTTTTTCAACTAAATAAAGAGATATATATATCTTTGCGGACTGATATGCTCCAGAGGTATCCATGTGAGATGATAGAATACAGAGATACAGTGTGCAGACTGATGTTGTCGAAGTATCTTAACTTGCCTATTGTTCTCGTTATAAGTCCTTCAAAGTCGTCTTATATGGTCAGTGCGGTCGTCACATGCTAGAATGCTAAGTTACAGAGTGAACATAGTCGAAGTCAAAGTTTCTTGTTCTACCTGTTGTGTGCGTTATACTCGATTCGATGTCAACTCATATGATCGTTGCGAACTACCATGCTCCGAAGGTATCCATTTGAGATGATAGAATACAGAGACACAGTGTGCAGACTGATGTTGTCGAAGTATCTTCAATTGCCTATCGTTCTCGTTATATGTCCTTCGAAGTCGTCCTTTATGGTCAGTGCGATCGTATATGCTATAATATAGGTATGTCAGAGGCTAGAATGCAAAGTTACAGTGTAAACATAGTCGAAGTTAAAGTTTCTTGTTCTGCCCGTTGTGTTCGTATTACACGCTTCGATTTCGTCTTATATGATCGTTACGAACTGATATGCTCCAGAAGTATCCATGTGAGATGATAGAATACAGAGATACGGTGTGCAGATTGATGTTGTCGAAGTATCTTCACTTCCTTTTGTTCTTGTTATATGTCCTTCGGAGTCGTTCTATATGGTTAGTACGATCGTATCTGCTATCTATAACTGTAGGCATGTCGGATGCTAGGATGCAAAGTGTTACAGTGTAAACACTGTCGAAGTCGAAGTTTCTTGTTCTGCCAGTTGTGTGCGTTATACCCATTTCGATGTCGTCTCATATGATCGTAGTAGTGTACCTACCCCAGATAGCACAAGTACGTCTTATGGACGTCCCAAAGACATACGCATCGGATATTCGGGACGTCCTGGAGACGTCCATTTTCAGTACAACGGACGTCTTTGGGACGTCCATAGGACATACGATGTTACAAAACCAGAGGTACATAGGACGTCCGATTTTGGTCCATTTCAGGTCTGAACCAGACCATTTTGGGACTTGAATCGGACATATAACGGATGTTTAAAATGACACCATATTTTGAGTTCCGCTCTATATTCAAAAATGCTGAGGGCAATTTGAATTATTTTTGTGATTTTTGAATATCATGATGATTTTCATATGGTCTAGGAGCCAGCAACTGCAGATAAAATTTCAAATAGGTACATTTTTCATTCAAAATATGTAAGAATAAGTTTATTACATCAGTGGTCATTCCATATAGGAATCAGAGATGCATAAGGAATGAACATTTTAAAAAAAATACTTGACATATCAATACATGAG